CCACGCCGCTGCCGCTGGCCGCCCAGCGCGCCGCGGCCGCAGCGCACCGCCACGCCGCCGGGTGAGTGCCGCCCTCACGCCTCCCTCTAATGAGCGATTCCTTTACCACTCACTCACTCACGCCACAGTAAATTGACAGCGTATTAGGCGAGTAACACGTAGGAATGATTGGCTTTGGTTTCAGAACGCTTACCAACCCGCCCTGGCACGTGCTTAGGCTTCTTATGTTTTAATCCACTCCTGGACACAATAACTCATCGAACCATGTTAACACTGGACATCTGATTTTTAGGCACTAAAATGTGTCATTTAAACGCCTAAAGTAGGCGTCATAAGTTCTTAATTAGGCAATAGACATTGAGATGAAAAGTATTTTTTTGACTAAATTTTATTTTATTTCCAACTAGCTTTTTTCAGGTAAATTAATAAGAAATATTTATAAAAAATAGAATGTAAATGCTAAAACATTATTAGAGCAAATAGAGATAAACAAAGGGGCTCTTCTTCGTATAACCTCTGGAAGAATATTATTTCCCTAATATGCTGCATAATACAAACAAAATCTTTCCTAAATTGTTATTCTGGAATCTAAGTTATCACCAATTCACGTTTTTATCAGCAGAATATACCGAGGAGGAGGACATTTTGAAAAATTTCGACGAAATAAGCGTCGAAAACAGAATCTTACAAAATCAATGGTTTGAGTGTTGTGTAATTGTTTTTGATAGCGACGCGGAGCCCACGGCGACAGCGGCGGCGGTGACGGCTGGGGCGGCGGTGACGGCGGTGACGCCGGCTTCGCCTGGAGGCGGCACGGAGACGGAGTCCGAAGCGGAGCAGCAGCTGGCCGATATCCTGGAGGAGCGCAACCTGTCGGAGGACGAGCTGCGGCAAAGCAAAGAGCTGAGCGCCACCGAGGCCCGCCTGCGCGCCGAGATCCACGAGCTGCAGACGCGCGGCGACCTGGACGCCGACGAGACGGAGACGGACGAGACGGAGACGGACGGGGAGGCGGCGGCGGGCGCCGAGGACGGCGACGCCGAGGGCGAGGACGAAGAGGACGAGGAGGAGGAGGAAGAGGATGACGACGACGACGATGACGAGGAGGACGATGACGACGAGGAGGAAGAGGAGGAGGAGGACGAGGAGGATGACGACGGGCCGCCCACCCCGCGCGCCTCGCTGTCGGCGACGGCGGTGGGCGCCGTGGACGGGCCCGCGGGCGCGGTGGCGGCGGTGGCCGCGGCTGGAGCGGCGGCGGGGGCGGGGGCGGGGCAGGAGGAGGACGACGCCGAGCGCGAGGCGCGGGAGAGGGAGGAGGACGCGCTGGAGCTGGAGGAGCGCTACGAGAACATGCTCGAAGGTGAGTGGCACACTACTGCTCCAATACTCTTTTTTTCTTCAATGAAACATGTATCTAAGCAGCGTTGCCTGTTCCCACGAACGAATTCGAACTTATGAGTAGAAATATCTGTTGTGTGAGAGTTTACCCATTCTCTCAATAACTATGAGTACATTAGATGCATCCAAGTTACCCCTTTAGTTTCATGTTAAGATTCTGTTATGATACTTTTTCGTCCTGAGATTACGATAATGGAACTGGTCCGGAACTAACGATATGCCATTGATTCTACTAGTGTTATTCACTAATATGATGTGGCATCATGTCAATTTAGCGTTAGCCGCACACTCCAGCATTATATTTAGTATAGTATTTTTAGTTGTAGTTACTATGTGACGTGTATCGTGAATGGTGCATGTCATGTTGTCAGATACTATACACCTTGTAATTTTGGTCGAATGTCGTTTTCCCATGTATATCTCAGATTGACTCATGCGTACAAGCTCTTTGTGCATAACGTGTACGATTCTTTACTTCATGTTGTACCTTGTATCTAACTGTATCTATCTGTACACCGTATATCTCTATATAAATATACCATAAACACATATGTACATACACAACCTCATATCTCAATACAATTTTCCACTCGATTTAGTCCTGTAATATGAACGATAACGTTACGATACTGAAAATGTATCCATCTTGCAACGCAAAGTCTGTTGACATCGCAAAAGTAATCTGATAAGCGAACAAATTAAATAAGAGGTTGTGCACACCGATAGGATGTCTGATAATGTGAATTTATTGAACAGGCCACCCCGTAGTTAATGTAACATCCAAGATAGAAAACGATACAGAATCGGCCCACTTGGCGAATATTCCCGCTTTCACGCGGGGACTTGGGGGGGGGGGGAGAATGCAACCCGCGGTACTCCTGTGTCAAGAGTGGTGTAGATTGCCCCTTTAGGACTCCCGGATTTAAAAGAGTGCGCTAATGTTTTAATATTGTAGCGCTAGTTGGAAGACAGTATTCTTACACAATACAGTACCAGTAAGAGTAATTAAAATTATTTTTTTCATTTCAGTACTATTTAAATATTATTATATATTTTAAAATATTAGCGTTATTTTAAGATGTTCATTTAAATATTTCACTGATCCAACCTTCGTTATTTTTGCTTTGATTGAAATATGAGAATTCGTTTATGCATCGTCGCATGTTATGTTTACGCCGTTAACCAAATATTTAGGATTGAAATTAAATGTAAACGTGAAGATACGTACTTTATTTCGTAGCCTTTTTTTAGTTCCAAGGTGATTATATGTTTACATGAATGTAGAAGTCGATAGCATCTTGCGCAGAAGCGTTCAATCACCCAACTTCTGCTCTCTGTTTGCATCTTTTAAGACATTTGAGGCACCAGACCTCTGCGAGGCAAGAGTCCTCTAGAAGGTTCTCTGAAGGAGAGAGAGGGAGGGAGAGGGATAACATTTATTTAATTTTCTGTGTGCGTCAATGAGGGAACAGGTCAGCTCAAAGCCCGGCTATTGCGACCGCATGTCTCCAGTCATCCCGCCATGTACGGGGAAAAAAAGAAAAACAAACAAACTTGATGCATGGGTAAGGTTAGCCGCGAAAAGGATACAACGTGCCGTCTCAAGATAGTATTCTTAATGAATGCATGAAGGGGGCGGGTGTGAACGTTGTTATCCCACTACGAAACACATTCGAAATTCAAGAAATTGAACATTTAGGTTTGAAGGGTGTAGCTTATAAAAAATGACAACCGTCGGGAGGTATCTACTCGCAAGAGACATACATTTAACTATTTGTCTAACACACTGCATGCAGAACTGATAATAGGGACCAACGCGAAAAAAAATAACAGTTGCAGTATACCAGATCCAAGTTGCTGTAACAAGGGAACTTGTTACAGTATCATGGGTCTGGTATACTGCAACTGTTCTTTTTCGTGATACGTGCCTGTCGCGAGACGCAGAGGTTTGTGTGTGTGTGTGTGTGTGTGTGTGTGTGTGTGTGTGTGTGTTGAGCAGAGGGCTGTGCGTGCGCAGGCATGTCGTGGGCGGAGCGCATGGACGCGCTGGAGCAGCTGCAGGCGCTGGTGGCGCGCCACCCGGGCCGCGCGCTGGAGCTGCACCAGAAGCTGTCGTCGCCGTCGCGGCGCTTCACGCGCTTCACGCTGCCCGAGGCCCTGCGCCGCTTCCAGGCCAAGCAGGCGCGCGCCAAGCAGAAGCGCGAGCAGCTACGCCAGGCGCGCTCCCAGCGCCTGCGTGAGCTCCTCAATAAGGTCGGTACCCGCCGGTTATTAATAGTAGTGATTACTAATTAGTTAATGATTAGTAATAATGGGCTGTTTCCCCCCCCCCCCCTCGAACGTTAAAGCATTCGAAAGCGCTGACGATCTTCTGCGCATGCGCAATTCACGTTTCGCGACACTTTCGTTCATCTGCGCATGCGCAGAAGTTACTCTGCAGTCAATTACTGCCCGGTAAGCCACAGTGAAGCGTTACAGTAATCGACGCCACTATCGTTGAGAGAATGCGCAATTCAAGTTTCGCATCACTTCTGTACATCTGCGCATGCGCAGAAGATTGAAATTGCAGTCGGTTGTTGTACACTATGCTGTACAAAAAATTTCCTAATAGCTGACGTGTGATGGAAGTGAAAGAGAGGAAAAATCCTCCATAAAAGCTGTTTCTTACGAGATATGTGTTTGGTGTAATGTGATCGGCTGGGAGGGCTCAGTGTCAGCAACTGTTACTCCTGGTAGCATCTCTCACCATCAGGTTCTAGGGTCTGGAGTTTCTTCCATTAATACCAGGGGAATGCCAGTGCAGTATCATAAGAAACAAGCCACAGATAGTGGGCGATCTTTCCCTCCTTGACCCTCTCTATCTCCCTTCATACATTTCCCTGCACTACACTACCACCAGTGTTGAGATTGCTTGAACTTAAAGCTTGTCCTGGGGAGGCACTTAGAAAGATACCCTGAAAAACTCCCCAACCCAACGTGTAGATCTGTGCAGGATCTGTACATTCCAGCAGTGGAGGAATAACACTGTCTTGACTAAAGCATATTCTACTTTCACAGAACTTAGCAACCAAAGTAGTTCACGCACCTGGAACAACGTGACTCACACTTGAAATGATATTAGACAGACGTTTTTTTTGTGTTTCTAAGACTGTGTTCACGTTTGCCTGAAACTGCATTAGCACTTCTGCAAAGCTTTCTCCTTGTGTATCTGACTTTATATTCCAAATATAACTGCAATCGGTTTGTGTAAAAGAAATATCAAATCTTTTTTTGGTTAGATCTGAGTAATTGCAAGAATTTTTTCTGAAATTTTATGCCACATTTTTCTACCTTATTGTTTCCTCTAAAAACCCTATTCTGGTACCTTTATTATTATTATTATTATTATTATTATTATTATTATTATTATTATTATTATTATTATTGTTGTTGTTGTGAATGTCTTCCACACAACTTGTCAGCTATAAGCTAAGGAAATAAGTTTGCCTACTTGCATGTTGATTCAATCAGTTTTACCAAAAACTGAAGATTATCCAACACTGCATTTTATTCAGCTAGTTTGTCCACAATTGCTATGGAAACATGTACTGGAACCATGTGCATTGATGTTTCTTTGACATGTTCTTGCCATAAGAATGATCTTTGGAAATTTTCTTTAGCCAAATTCCTTGATTTGATCCATTCAAAATTAGAAAATCAGACCTTAAATGTCAAAGAAATGTGTTGTTGACAGTGATAAATAATAAAGTCTCTCCAAACAGGAAACACCAGTCTCTTAATAGGTGGGGTGATCCCTGCATCTTCCCAGTCCATTCGCTCCTTATGTAAGTCACTGTGTCCTTGTAGGTATTTGAAATCGCAAACATGCAACAAGTTTCTTTAGAGTATTTGCACTTTGTTCATATGTACACACAGTGTGTACACAGTGACTCACATACCTCAGCACTACTCTGGATTGTCGCCTTGTGGAGCCTCACCAAGACACCCTCACCTATCACAAGATTGTGACTCCTTGAGCGAGTGTTGTGACCTGCACGGATAGATGTTTCTAATTCAAAGCAAACCGGCACAGCTTTTCTGCCCATCTATATCTGAGTCATGTGGCACATCTGCGAGATTCACCCAGAAATACAGACTACCCAGCGGCTGTAAGAACTCAATGTGATCGCCATTGCCCTGACGTAATCCTGTTGCTCTGGTAGTAACAGAAGCCTTTCTGTTGTGCCGAAACATACCCTGCTGCTGTGCTGCTCGCGCCAGTTGCCAATGTCACGTGGGTTGGGACTAGCTCTGGCCCAGTCCTGATTGAGGCAGATGGATGGGAAGGGAAGCTTAAACATAGCTTGATGTATGGGGTGAACGTTTGACAAAACTTAAGTTTTGACAATAAACAGTCATTGCTCATCTTGCTGACTAAATCGTGATGCAGTAATGTTCCTTAACAATACTAATAAAAAAAACACCTTTAGCAGCACCTTTAGAAAAATGGAAGAAGTCGTTTTTACTGTTTTGTGGTTTCAGTTTCTCTTTGTGCCTTTAATAATTAATTTATTTGGACTTGAGAGAAGTTACTTCAAAGCAAGAATTACTGCTTTGAAAGTTCCAGAAGATCCTTTTGTAATGCATTTTTAAGTTGATACAAAGTCAATTTTGAGAGGGAAGAGGAATTACTGGGAAACAAACTTGTGACTATAAATAAAAGCAAAATCATAAGAGATATCATTGTTAATTACGAAACTTTTTTTTCTGTTCTCTTTATTACTTCTGTTCTTTTCACTTGATGGTATTAATTCAAAGAGAGTTGATTTAATCTGTACATTTTTCATATTTTTATTTAAGCATAAGTTTTGTCTGCTGTTTGAGCATGTGCTCTGATTTGTATAGAAAGGTGAAGTAATAGGTTAATAGAAAGGTGTGTAACTTTTTCTTAACATTCATAATAATAAAAATTATTTAGTGAATTTGGATGTATAGCTCACTCAACAGTACTTTGCTGGATTAAGATGTACTATTTGGAAGTTCTTTAATTTTTCTTATTCGCTTAATGTTCACTTAAGTGAAACCCATCCCACATCCCCATCTACCTATCTCAATACAATATCCTTTACTGTTCATTTGGTACATTTCTGTCCAATTTTTGCCCATCTGAGTGCAACCTTTTGGTACCTTCAACTGTTGACAGTTCATAAGCCCTTTCAGCCAGTTTTCTATTTCCTTAACGTGCTGCATAGCCCATAGCCCTGTGACAGCTGATGGCTACATGTCTACCTTTAAACAGGAAGGGGGTGATGATTAGGAATGATCGACAGCAAATGAGATGCATGTAGCTTGAAATGGCTACCATGTGACAAACGCATGATGGATACACCCATGCTTATGCAGTTTTTGAACCCACTTCTCCGGGTATTAACTAATCCCTTAATCAATGTCGCTACAGAAAGCAGATGGTTTTCATATTTCTTTTGTTGAGAAATGAAATCTTTTTTTATTTGCAACAGGTTGAAGAAGTGAAGGCTGCTCAAGCTCAGCTATTGGAGGACAAACGCGCTCGTTTAGAACAAAAACTGCGCCGCGCCGAAGCTAATCGCAACCTTCACTTGCGAGGCATTGTTCGAAAGGCTCATGATGAAGAGGAGAAGCTGAAGGAGATTGCATTCATCAATGAACTGGAGGCCCAAAACAAGCGCCATGACTTCTTGGCTCTGTGTCAAGAACAACAAGAAAGACTGCAGGGAATACAGGAAGAACGCCAGCGACGTCTTGAAGAAAAGGCAGCCAAAGAAGCAGCTGCTGAGGAACGACGGAGAGTGTTGGAAGCTGAACGACAGGTGTGTTTCTTTTCTTTGAGAATTATGAAACTATAATTAGATGCCTTTTTAGGAGCAGCCATGGGGTTAGATTTGTACAAAATTAATTATCATGAAAAATCCAATACATAGACACCTAAAAAGTAACAAATATGCAAAAAAACTAAATTAGTGTGCTCTGAGAAAAACGTGTTAAGATGTTTAAAAGGAAGTGTAATTGTATTATTCGAGATATTTTTGTGTTTGGAGGAGGATTGTTTTGTATGTTATTGTTGTTAAATATGCAAGTTGATATTTAAATTGTGTTCCATATTCCTGTTTTATTAATTTATTCATTTAAAAAAATATTTTATTGACTTTTGAATACCATTTTGTTCTTGCACTATAGCATTATGTTGTGGTTATAGGAACGTCTTGAAAAGATGCAAGAATTACGTCGTAAACGAGAGGAACGTGTTGGCCGTAAGCAACAAGAGCGAGAGAAGGAAAGGCAAGAACTTGCTCGTGAGAAAGCACGGTAAGAACGAATATTGGTTTATATTTTATTTATTCATTTTAACACAAGATATATGTGCCCTTTTGTTGTATGTCCAGTACACAGCACTTAGTGCACTCGTACATACTAATGCAATAGTCATACAAAAGAAAATATTGGCACTTTAAATCAGTTGCATAGCTAGGTTCTGGGAGTGGAAGGTCAAATGTGAAATCTGGAGTTTTAAATATAATTAATAAGTGAAGTAGTGTAAGTAAAGATGAAGTATCAGAATTTCCTAGGTTTTACATACCTACTTAGATATTAAATATCTGGATTAATATGCTATTATCATGCATTTTGTCACCTAAAGTTGAGATATCCAATTTTGGAACTGTAGTTTGAAATGATTAAGGAAGAGTATAAGGAACATTGTGCATTCACGAATCTGATGTATTTAGTTATAGTGTTGTGCTATGTGTACTAAACTATTTAGTATTGAAAAGAAAAAGCTGCATATTTTCCCTTCTTCTTGCCTCATGGTTACTAAATCTGTTTTTGTTCTTTGATATTTCAAAGAGAGAGATAGTTTGGTGGGTTGAGGAAGTTGAATTTAAAGTGGGGAAGTAAAAGGAATATAGCAGGTAACAATTTTTCAGAAACAGCACTGCTGATTTCTGTTCAGCCTATTTATGCAGACACTTCATTTACTCATATTTCTACTATTTTATTTACTATTACTTCATAATACAAATTCATAATACTGAACTTTCATATGTTGTTACATTACTGGCATTTTTTTAACATTACAAAATTGTGTTTTGGATTTAGTGATCGTGAGGAACGTCTGTCAGCCCTTCATGCTGCTCAGTTAGCAACCCAGGAAGAATTACAACGAAAAATTCAACAGAAGCAGGAAGATTCAGCTCGTCGTCATGAAGAAAATATTGAACACATTCGGCAACGAGCACTTGAGTCAAGCATTATGCGCTGTGCTACTGATGACTTGGCTCCTAGACTGGCCCCCTATGAAACTCTCAAACTTTGTAAAGCCTGCAATGTTCTGGTAATTCATTTTAAAATATCTCTTACACATATTTTGAAATTCTAATTATTTTTCTAATTTGCTAATTTCCTAACAATGCCCACAGTTATGATGATAACTATAACATTGGATCCATATTTGAAAATCATAACCATAATCTTAATGTTAATCATCATCATCATCATCATCATCATCATCATCATCATCATCATCATCTAAGAATCATTATTCTGTTTATGTCTAATTTTAGAGTACTCTTGCTTCTGAACTACCCTCCTTCATCATTGCAACCAGTCTCTCTCTTTCTTTTAGGATCTTTGAACTAATAATCTATTTCTTTTATTTTTCTCACCTTTTAATATTTGTTTCAACTAGATTTATAATAGAAAAAATGTTCAATTTTCTTTTGTCTTACTGTCTCTCCTAACACATATTTTTATAGTAAAGAGAGAGTATTATAATACTGCAGTGAAAAGGTTATTTATCAACAGAAACTTGATTTGAGTATCTTTTATATGGAAAAAGTGGATAAAATTCTTGTTCCTGTTTGTATTAGAATACTTCCTCTAATAAATTATGTAGCCAGAATTTATATTTTTGTGGGTCCCAGATATCCAAAGTTGTTTTACAGCAAATTTTTTTTCTGTCCATCCATCTACCTGAGAACATGTGAGTAGCTGTCTGTGAGCTAGTTAGAAATCTCCCTCCAATTGCACATTCCAGGGTTTTTTAAGAGAGGAGAGTGGGTCCTCATCCAGGACTCCTTGATTCCCCTCTTGCTTGAGCCTATGCATATGTTCGTATGTGAGTGGCCAGGCTGTCATTGCAGCAAGCCTAGGAAACCACTTTGTGGGTTTGGGATTAACAAACAGATCACAGGCACTCTGTTTCTTTTTTGTGAGACCTAATGAAAGAAAAGACCTCTAGTAAATGAAAATAACTAATCATCAAATTTACTTCAGCATGCTCAGTATTACTGTAACTTGTTCAGCATGTGCATTGTGTATTTTCTGGGTAGATCTAGTTGTCAACTGTTTTTTCATTCAACTTCAGTTTGCCAGGCAGGTGTTACAAGCTGCAAACTCCACCATAGGCACACACTGGATCATGCACAATTTATGCTCCTTGTCTGAAAGGAGATTCCTAACTTGAGCTACTGTGTGCAGAATTCTTTAGAAATTGATATTCTATGATCGATCTGGCTGATGTCACAACCCCTAGAGTCTGAAACGGATATTTTGATTTTTGGGATCACTTGACAAGGTGACTCTTTCAGTGACCTGATTGAGCTTGATTTTTGTTGAATTCTCTTTAGTTTTTAAAAAGTGGCAAAAGTTAAATTTTTTGTTCAAAGGTACAGGTCTGATTTTGGCAGAAATCTCTGTGTTTTTGAAAATTGTAAGAGTTTAAAAATGTTAGGCATATTCCTACCACTACAATATTATTTGTTGTGATTTTTTAAATGAAATCTGTGCTTCAAAATTAGATTTTTAAGTATTAGCAATGAAAATTTTGAATTTTGGAAAATTGCGAATGTAAATGTTAGATTTTGTTATTAAAACATTAGGAAGGTTGTTTTACCTGTGTAACTGGTGGGGAAGGAGTAGTGTGTTTGATGTGTCAAGGCTAAATACCTGAAATTGGATCACGGCATGGGGGAAAGAAAATTACCGGTTGAAACACTTATGCAGGTTGAAGTAGTATTTCAATATTATGAAACTGCTACAAATTACACGAAAAATTTTATTGTTGTTGTAGCACCACTAGTTTCTTAAAGTTTTGCCTTCAAAATATGAGGATGCTTTTTCCGTTAATTATGTCCAATACTCCATCTAAATTACTGACCCACAGTGTTTACATAGATTTCAACTGAGTGGAATATGAAGTTGATTAGTGCTTCACTTCAAATGAAAATGAATAATTAGAAACTGAAGTTTGTCTGAGGCTCAAAACTCCTGTTACTTGTGATTAAAACCTCCTGTTATACTCCAATTTAATTTTAGTGACTTCTGAAGTTTAATTGAATTGAATTAGTACCTTATTTTGCGTAGCAAGACTCCACCATGAGGCCTGCTCTTCTGCCTGACCACACAAATTTCGCTACGTACCTTTCACCTAGCAGAGAATGAAGGTTTTTCTTGAGCGAGAAACAGGTGATTTGAATTTAGCTCAGAGGCGTCATTTAGGCTTCAGGATCTTTTACATGCAAGTAAATCTACTAACCTGGGACAGCTGACTTTACTTTCCCTCCGAAGGAAGGCGTATGAAGGATTTTTTCGCCCTTAAAAATTCACAGTTTCAATCGGGTTTGAACCCGCCAACTTGGGTATATCAGTCTGAAACGCTAACACCAGCGCTGCACGCATGTTTAATCATCTGGACGTAGTTTTATCCAACTGGGAGTTTCATTGGGGTTTAATTTTTGGTATTGAAGCTCCCAATTGGATAAGTGTCACAGCTGATCGAACATCCGAAGTCATTATAATAAAATCTGAGAATACTTACAAGCTATCTGCAGTACCATCCCTGTTTTAATTTCGACCATGAAAATTATGAAAGGAAAAATGCTTCTTAGAGAACAAAATCTTTTATTTTCAGTGGCTTTCCATCCAAAATGCGCTTTATTTACTTTAAAGATTGTTGTTGAATGAATTTTATTAACATTGATTTTCAGTGTGTGTGAGCAGACTTTATTGAATCTTAATAGTTGTATAGAACTTTATTTAAGTCTAGAAAGTGTTATGAATATTTCTTATAAAAGCAATATTATTTGAGAATTATTGCTGTGGTTGCTTTGTCCAGAAATTGTTTGATATTTATTGTTAGATTCTATGTTCTAATATGTACAATTTCTAGATTGGCTCGGAAGTGTACCTTATCAGCCATTTACGTGGTAAGAAGCACATGGAGCAAATTCAGAAGCAACATGGACCTAACCCCACTCACGAGGAGCTCACTTCCTACAACATCAAACACATTGTTGACGCCCCTGCTGACCAGATTGATCCTAAAATTGCCTTGGACAAGGAACGGCAGAAAGCTCTGAAGAAACGCTGCAAGAAAATAAGACTGCGAATGGCTGCAAGGTCTGTTTGTTAAGATGTCAGTTAAATGGGCGAAAACCAGAATGGTATAAGTGACATTTTATAAATTCTGAAAAATTTGTTTATTTAAGTCATAATCACTAGTAAGTGGTGGTTCTTTGATCATTAAAACCAGAGCATTTCAGGTGTTCATTAAAACCATGAAAATACATTGCCGCTGAAATTTTGCCTAAAATAAACTAGTTTTTCTCAGAATTTTTAAAATGTCACTTAAACTGATCTGGTTTTCAACCATCCAAGTAATCTTTAATCGACCGTTCAATTATTTTTTTGAAATAACTATCAAATGTAAATTGATATTGTAATCCTGTTTACTTAAGAGTGATATAAAAGCATGAACCTTTAAACCTTCAGGTTAGAAGAGACAAATATTCTTATTCATCTGTAAACAAGAATTATTAAATTAAAGAGACTTGTTAATTTATTTCACATTAATGCTAAATGCTTATACAATAAATAACTGAATGATTTAATAACACACAAAATGAAAACAAGGAAAGAATTTTCCATTCAAACATATATCCCTTTCATTTAGCAAAAATGTGTATACAAGGGACGATTTAGTAAGAAAATGATCATCAAATATTAATAAGTTGTGAAGAATATAAACATAATACAATTCTTGGTTATTCGATTGAAAAAAATATGTCATATGTTTTCGTATAAAGCCACTATTCAATGCCTCGTGCCACTTTATCTTGTGCATGTACACTCCTTTCTGGACTGTAAGGGGAAATGAGTGTGGGGTCAGGAGAAGTTGTTCATTCCTGAAGGAGTATGGGGCTCCTGAGGAAGGCGGTGTGAGGAAGTGTGTGTAGGGTACGGTTAAATTGCCTACCATAATCAATATGAAACTCAGATTTGTTTAAGGATATTTTTTTTTCTTTTCTGGTAAAGACACACACTTCTTTGCAGATACTTTTCTAAATTTCTATTCTAGTGTACATTATTTCTGGTTGGACTTTCATAAGTTGAAGGGCACGTACAGAATTGTAAAGTAATTAATGAAATAAAACTTGCTGTGAAGGTGGCCCTTCATGCCGAGTTCACATATATGTATTAGTAGAGCACAGTTGCAATGCCTTTTGGAGAAAAGACAGTTAAAAATCACTTGTGAACTTATGCAATGTGCAAGTATTCTGACTGAATAAACTCTATGAAGTTATTGGATGATGTAGGCAGTAACAAGCCTGGCTAAATCACAGAATGTTTCTTCATGGGATTTGTACAAGAAACATTCAGTACTTGTGATTGCTACCACTTGTGTTTTGAGGTATGACGATGGTGCCTGTAGTTAAATTCCTTGCTTATCGGGCCATTTGCTTCATATTTTGTAACCTGATTTTTGGCAAAATAATGGCCAAAAAACTGCCTTTTGAACTCACATAGAACTCTTCACGAAGGACTACTTTGAGATCAAGTTTTGTGATATTCCATAGTTTCTGATCCTGGATGCCCTCTTGTAAGTACTAGAACCATTTTCTGATGGAAGACGTTTATTGTGTGCAGAGGTCAAGATTATGAATCTCGGCGAGAGGTACCTGCTAAGACTGAGTCTCCCAACCGTGGGCGTTTGTTGAAGTGCTTAAGGGATGTGGAGAAGCTGCACACCAGCCAGGGCAAGGGTCAGTGGTCCAACAACTCCATCACGGGATTGGAGCGAGCACTGGGTGAGATCAGCAGAATCCTCTCTAAACAGGTATGTGATAAAATCATGAAAACAATTATGTCATTTAGTTCTGGATTGTTTTTTGTTTTTCTGTCTGTAGGAAACAGGTGTGTGTTGAAATTATGATCAGATGTATGTCATTTTGCTGTGGACTTTTTGGGTTTTCTTCTGGCTTTTCTTTCTACACTTACTATGTGTTTGCATAGTAAAGAGAGAGTATTGGAATGCTGTGGTAGAAATCAGCAATTTTTTACAGAAAAACTAGTATTAAGGCAGTCCGGTAATGAAAAAGTGAATAAATCTTATTCCTAAATATAGTAAATTCAGTGGGTTTTGATACCCAAAAATTAATTCACGGTCTAACTCTCTTTCTAACGCCCGCCTGGCCTCCCGCCCGCACCATGATTTTTGGGGTTACTTTAAATTTCATCTCGTTAAATTTCATGTCAACAACATTTTCAAAATTGTCTCAAAAATGGCTTCAAATTTTTGGATTTAACTTTGATAGCATAAAGGATGGTTAAAAATTGTGCATATCTCATTTTTGTTAAAATCTCTTGAGTTTTCAAAAGTTGCAAAGGTTTAAAAAATGTTCGGAGTCTTCCTGCAACTACAATATTGAAGATTTTTTACATAGCGAAAACTGTTCTTCAAAGATGGATCTTGAAATAATGACGAGTACAACTTTTAGGAAATATGGGAAGTCTTCTATTTTCTCAAAATTTGCTCCAAACTTTTTCTTTCAATTTTTCTTAAAACAATAGATTCTTGGTTGTTTTTTAGAGAATACTTGGTATTTTCAAAAATTGCGAAAAATTAAGTGTAAAAGTACAATATTGAAGATAGACAATTTTAACTTGAATGAAAATGTAATAAATAATTAGATCTTTAAAAAAGGTCATGTGCAATTTTTTGATAAAACAAACAGTTTCTCAATTTCTGGTGGGAGATAATGCAAATTTCTTGAAACAGTCCCAAATTGTTTCTTCAATATTTTGCTCATATTCAATGAAGGATATAAAAGAATTGTGCAGCTCTCATTATCATTGCACTTTCTGAATTTTCAAAACTGCAAGAGTTATAAATAATGCTAGAAACTCTGTTTTGTGCACCACTAGTTTTTGTCTGTGGTTTATTTTGCACATTATAAAAAGTTGTACTTGTTCACATTTTGCAGTGCACTTAACAAAAATATTGCAAATCAATACGTGACAATTTGTCTCTAATTTTTTATTGTTGTTGTGTATAGATAACTAAGTATTCTTAAACGTGTCAGGGGCTCACAGGGCGGGATCTTCTGGAGCACCTTACCCAAGCCTTCGACTTACTTAAGGCCCCAATTTTTTTTCCCTTTCGTTAAAACAAATTAAAAATCGATGTACTTCTATTTCGAATTAACCTCTATAAATTTTTTTCTGTTGCATAGAAAAATAAAATCTGTTCATGTAGGGGAAGGGGAGCTGTTTGAAATAAGGGACCTCCTTAGGTTTATTGCCTTAGGCCTCAAGATTTTCTCTGCTAGAAAAGCAACATCGATATTTTAATGATCTATGTGTTAATGCCAATGTTTTATGCATGATGTTTAAAAATGTTCAATATTTTGTTTGTGAATGAAATATTGCTATTAATAAGATTTGTGAAAGTTAAAATATAAAATTATAATTTATGATACCACATTGAGCAGTTTATCTCGCGTCCAAGATAGCCCTGATCATTTAGTTCTCTATGCTATTCTCTGTGTCTTTAAAAAAAAACAAACTTTTGTATATGGAGAAGCCATGGGTGTAGGGCCTTTCTCTTCCTTTTTCTCTCTTTCTCTTTCTTTTTCCCTCTTTCTCTTTCTTTTTCTCTCTTTCTCTTTCTTTTTCTCTCTTTCTCTTTCTTTTTCTCTCTTT